TATAGAAAATTGCAATCCTAGGATTATGCCAAAATGGCAAAACTGACCAGAAAGCTCAGGAACCAAGAGGACCAAAACTTTCGTAAAGAATTGGGTGTGTGTGTGTTAATTTACTTGAGAGACCACTGTAAACAGATTAAAACATTCACAGGATTGCAATAACACTTGCAATGTAGAAAATACTATGGGCAAAATGGAGAGACATAAAATTTGGGTGATGAAATAATATGCAGTTGAAAAGGTTGAGAATAGGACCCATGGAGAGGAAGGTGGGATGTCTAGGGATTCTGAGAAATCTCTGAATATGAATATGTATTTTGTAGTGTTATAATTCTACACTTGTAAAATCAAATAAAAATTATTTCGGGGGAAAAGAAAGTTGCATCCCACCAGGCTCATCTGCATTGTCCACTCTGACTGGCAATGGCTGTCTGGGGTCCCATACAAAAGGCTTCCCCATCACTTCTAACTTGGCCCTTTTAATGCTCGAGATTGAACCTGTGACCTCTGCCACTCCCTCCTTATAGCTCTTTGTACCCAAGGGAAATTCAGGCTTGTGCTTGTCAAAAAACATCCTACATGTCACTTTGCTTTTGATGCCAATGAGTTTCTTCCTTCCCCCAAGCCGTTTGTGATATGGCAAGTCTCCTTGGTTTCCAAAGCAGTGGGGCATGGAGACTGTTTTTTGACAAAAACCAAGCCCAAACTTCATTTTTTTGGGGGGGTCCTTTCCACCCCGTTCCTTTCTAATCCCACCCATGTGACTAGTGATAGCAATTAGTTATGGTTCACTGTTGCACATTTCCCTGAATTATTTATTGCCGCCGGTCCGTTGACCATTATCTCCGTGATAAACTAAATTGCCAGTTAGCACTAGCTGACTGGGGCAGAGCAACAGGAACTCACCCCATTGTGCGGATTCGAACCGCCAACCTTCTGATTGGCAAGCCCAAGAGGCTCAGTGGTTTAGACCACAGCGCCACCCACATCCCTGGAGATCCTGCCTTACCTAGCAGGTACAAGTAGATAAATAGGTACCGCTGTGGCGGGAAGGTAAACGACGTTTCTGTGTGCTCTGGTTTTTGTCACTGCGTCCCATTGCTCCAGATGTGGTTTAGTCATGCTGGCCACATGACTCGGAGAGCTGTCTGTGGACAAACGCTGGCTCCCTCGGCCTGAAAGAGAGATGAGCGCCATACCCCATAGTCACCTTTGACTGGACTTAACCGTCCAGGAGTCCTTTACCTTTACCTTACTTGCTGTCATTCTGTGCGGCAGCCAAACGAACATGACAGCCCGAGTATCTTCTCTATCTAAATATAGCCTCTGTAAAGTTGGACTACATTACATAAAACAGAAGTGACAGTTGAACTGCTGCTACCAATAGCATGTCAATTATGGATAAACTCTGCTCTCTCTTTGCTCTCTTGGATAATATAACGTGCAAAAATGAAACTACCTAGATAAGCCAGGCAAATAGTATGCAGTCTCTGTAACTGGCCACTCCATTGTGAAGGCTCTAGGCGCAAGACTAGAACTACCATTGAGAGGATACTATGATGTTTTTCCTTGATGGGAGAATATTTAGTTGCTGGAACCACTGTAGTTTTGCCCGATCCCTTGCAATTGGCACTATGCTCCCTGCACACACAGGAAACACGTAATTTTAGGGCACAGACTTCTGGGCGAACCAGGCTTCTTTGCATCAACATGGACTTTTAAACATACTTAACTTCTTGTGCTGAGAACAGGACGGAGAAAAAGGGTCATAGTTTTGTAGTGCTTTGTAAGAGGCATTTTGTTGTCGATTTCAGTTATTTGGAATTGGCTCGATTGCCGGAGGGTGTGCACGGTTGCGTGGGTGAAAGTGACAAATAGATTTTGCACAGGTAGATCAAACCTCTTTTCGGCTCCCAAGATAGATAGCCTTAATCCCCCAAAAAACCAGATTATGCAGTTCCAAGAAGTGTTTGCAATCCGTTTTTCTCTAATATGTCCTTTCCTTGTTATAGTGGTGTTGGATGACAGCAAGCGATTAGCGAAAAGAAAACTGATAGAGGAGAATCGAGAGAAGAGACGTCGGGAAGAGTTACAGAAAACCATTGGGATGAAACCTGAGCCAACAGATGAAGAGTGGGAGCTTATCAAAATTGTTACGGAAGCCCATGTCGCCACCAATGCACAAGGAAGCCATTGGAAACAGAAAAGAAAATTTCTGGTAGGTGACACAATGGTGTGAGGAGCTCGCCAGAACCACTCCTCGCTTGACCTGATTTTTTAGCAACTTTTGGGTTGACGGACGAATTGGGTGGGAAGCTTTGATCTCTAAAGTTCTTCACTTTAGGCCCACCGTGTTTCCTCAACCGGAAGTAAAGAACAAATGAGCGCAATAACATATGAAGACAAAGTTGAGTTTCACATGTTTTGTGCAATACGCAAACAAAAATTCTCAATATAGTGATCCATGGAAACGACTGGTGTCACTAGAGCTATCCTAGCATGTGGCCTGTTGATTACCGTAGTGTCGCTGCGAGTTTTGATATTCTACCAATTTAGATCAATGGAAGCCAGAAATAGAAGAGAACAGGGAAAATATCATTTGAACAGGTTTTACATGCCTGTTCCTTAACTAGAGACATTTTCACATTGCAAGGGTCCTTTCTGGATGAGAAATGCTTGCTTTTGTATAACGGCAAATCAGTACAAGAACCTGCAGAGCACGTTGCTTTAAAAATAATGAAACTAATATTTAACTGCAGGCGTCTTCAAGAGAGCTGTTCAGGGAAGTTTTTAGTGTTTGATGATGTTTTGTATTTTTACTATTTTTTCTTGGGAGCTGCCCAGAATGGCTGAGGCAACCCAGTCAGATGGGCAGCGTTGCTGTTGTTGTTATTATTATTATTATTATTATCATCATCATCATCATCATCATCCGCTAGAGTCCTAGGTTTGTCTGCTAGGGTTCCCCCCACCGCCAACACACACATACCAGGAAGAGGATATAATCTAATAAGGCAAAGTTGAACCTACTGTATATACTCAAGTATAAGCCGACCCGAATATAAGCCGAGGCACCTAATTTTAGCACAAAAAACTGGGGAAACTTATTGACTCGGGTATAAGCCGGTTCACCACACCACAAACCTGGTGGCGGCGGCAGCGATGGAGGAAGAACAAGCAGCCCAAAAGGGCTGCTTTTGGGCCACTCATCCCTCCGCCGCCCCCGCCTCTGCCGCTTCCAAGAGCAGGCATAGGAGCCGCGGTTGGGAGAGGTGCAGCACAGCGCCTCTCCCAACCGCGGCTCCTGTGCCTGCCCTTGCGAGAGGCAGGTGGCAGCAGCGGTGGAGTGACCAGCAGTGAGAAAGGGCTCCTTTCTTGCCGCTCGTCCCTCCGCTGCCGCCGCTGCCCGCCTCTGCCGCTCTGCCTCTCCCAACCGCTGCTCCTGTGCCGGCCCTTGAGAGAGGTGGGTGGCGGCGGTGGGACCAGCGGCGAGAAAGGGTTCCTTTCGGGCCGCTTGTCCCTACATTGCCGCCGCCCGCCTCCCTTGAGTATAAGCTGAGGGGGCTTTTTCAGCATAAAAAAATATGCTGAAAAAGTCAGCTTATACTCAAGTATATACGGTAAGTATGGATGGTCTTTGTTACTGCTTTGGGAATTTGTTAAAATTGAAAAGTTGGTTATAAATACCTAACATGAAAAGTAATAACTATTTCCCTGCATTTATGTGATTCTAATGAGGTGCTGGTGTGTAATTCAATTTCCCCCAAAATTTTGTAGTTCTCCAGTCCAGCAAACGTGTTAAAAACTGCATTGGGGTAAAATGTGCATATAAAGCATATAATAGTGAAAATAGCATACAAAAATGCATTCCATTAGGGTTCTGGGGTTTTCCCCCCCAAAGATGTGTATATTTGACAAAATCGCAAAGAAAAAAAAGTGTGTTTAATGGGAGAAATTCTCAATAAAATACTGAGGTTTTTTATATAAAATGGAAAATAATGTAGAGAACTAAAATGAGAGAACCCAGAATTGCCAGATTCATCCATCCCATCATCATGTGAAGTGGAAAACCAGTTGCTGGGTGCTGACCCTGCTCTCAGCATCACATCATATCCCAGCCAGCCCAAGCCCCCCACCATGTCCACACAGGGCATGCCTGCAGAGGAGAAGCCTGCCTGTCATGCATAGGCTTTCCGGTGAGAGGGAACCCTGGCCGCACAGTTTTTGCTCCTAGTTCCTGGAGACTGTAGGGTTAGGAGGATGTAATGGCAAAAGCCTAAACACTTCACTGAGCAGTGAGCAACCTGAGTCCCTGTGGGAGCAGGAAAAAAAAAACTGGGGTGGTGATATTAGAATGGAGTGGCAGGGAAACTGAACACACGGCAACATTTTGTTGCAGATGCTAGTAAAGGTAAAGGGACCCCTGACCTTTAGGCCCAGTCGTGACCGACTCTGGGGTTGCGGCGCTCATCTCGCTTTATTGGCCGAGGGAGCCGGCGTACAGCTTCCAGGTCATGTGGCCAGCATGATTAAGCTGCTTCTGGCGAACCAGAGCAGCTCACGGAAACGCCGTTTACCTTCCCGCCTATTTATCTACTTGCACTTTGACGTGCTTTCGAACTGCTAGGTTGGCAGGAGCAGGGACCGAGCAACGGGAGCTCACCCCGTCGTGGGGATTCGAACTGCCTACCTTCTGATCAGCAAGTCCTAGGCTCTGTGGTTTAACCCACAGCGCCTATTTGTCATTTTTACTTGGTTACAGCTTTAGAATAGCAGTACCGTTTTGTTTCCTAATACAGTCGTACCTCGGCTCCCAAACACCTTGTGAGTCGAACGTTTTGGCTCCCGAACGCCGGAAACTTGGACGTGAGTGTTCTGGTTTCTGAACGTTCTTTGGAAGACGAACATCTGACGTGGCTTCCGCAGCTTCGGATTGGCTTCAGGAGCTTCCTGCAGCCAGTTGGAAGCTGTGCCTTGGTTTCCGAACGTTTTGGAAGTCAAATGGACTTCCGGAACGGATTCCGTTCAACTTCCGAGGTACCACTGTAGTGGAAAATATTTGTGGTCATGAAGAGTCGGACACGACTAAACAACTAAACAACAACAACATGTATTGGGCAAAGCATACAAACATAAACTCGGTGATAGGAAACAGAACGCATATTTAACGTTAGCCTCTTTGACCTGAATTCCTGAACTTAGCTTCACCCCTCAAACCAAGTGATCAACTGTTGAGAGAATATAACCCGTGTTGGTTCCATCCTGTCTGTTTTTCTTACCTGTCAGGTTAGCGCAGCTATAGGAACAGCCTTTGGCTATTATGAACTTTGGTGAAGCCTCTCTGTCCCTCTAGCAAATGACAACAAATTTATAGGAAAGGTCAGAAACTCCCCTCCTCTGACAAATTTAATGCCGAAGGACTTCTCTTCCTTTTGGATTTCAGGGGAAGATGAGTTTTCCTAGGTGGGACTGAGAAACGCCACTTGCTTTAGGGTTTCGGAGTGAACAGCTAAATGGCTTCCACAAGATAACATAAATAGACAAGAATAAGTAGCTACATTTGCAAAGCACTGAGCTGCCTACACAAATGAGTAGGGGCATGTCAGAAACTTACGCGTACAAGAGTTTGTCTTAGACAGTGGCTTCTTTGGAATACAAAACTTAATTTTGCTAAGTAATAGCTATGGGGCTTTCTTACAAACAAAACAGAAGAAGTGATGGGTTTGAACCGCCAGCGCTCCACAAAAGTTTAAGAAGATTCCATGTCCGCTGCAAATAAATTGTCTCCTTACAATGTTTTTCTTTTCTGTTGTTAGCCAGAGGATATTGGACAAGCACCAATAGTAAATGCCCCAGAAGGCGGGAAAGTAGATTTAGAAGCCTTCAGCCAGTTTACAAAAATTATCACACCAGCAATCACAAGAGTGGTGGATTTTGCCAAAAAGTTGCCTATGTTCTGTGAGGTACGGATTTCTTTCCAGTTTAACCTCTCTCTTTTTTCTTTCCTTCTCCTTTATTTATTTATTTATTTTGCATGTAAATGTGAACTTTGTTTACCACCCCTAAAAACAGCTTGAGATGGAATTTTATTTTATTTTGAGATAGAGTTACAACACAGACAACAAAGTATACACACAACACTACAAGAAGAACTAGGAATTAATAAACTTACATATAGCTATCTCATTATATCATGCCTGTGAGATATCCAGCTCACTAACTATATCATATCTAAGTTATATACTGTATATCATAGTCAGAAACAAAAATATGGGTACCTGTCACTTGATTCAGATTTGATCAAAAGATTTGATGGGCTTCCACCTAGGAAATAAAGAGAAATCATGGATTTTATATATATATATTGTATCCCTTGCTTGCTGCGCATTCTGAGTAAGATTGTATGTAACCATCATCTCCCAAATTTAATTAATTAATTAATTAATTAATTAATTACGTCCCTGCCTTTAGTGTCCAAGGAGCCCAGGGCGGGAATTTTATTAATGCACTGCTTTTTATATAGTTTCTTGGGAGACTTCCTGTTATGTGCTATACACAACTTTGCCCCTGGATACGATTACTTAAGAAGGCCTTTATGCAGAAATACAGAGTCTATAGATTCAAAGTGATCACATAGCATAGCTTGGGGGAGCTACCTGTGGCCTAATGTGGCAAAATTCCTGGATGTCATCTGGAATGTATTCCTGAACTTTTACACTGTTTAAGGCACTAACACTGCTGCCATCAAAGGTGAAATCATAAACCAATCTGACCAGTGTACTAACTATAGTAGGGCATATCCGTTGAAGTACTGCAGGGGTCACGTACAACATACTGAGAACTTTGTATTGTGTGTCCTTTATAGTCTCCTTAGTAGTGCTGATTAATAAAAAGAAAAAGATCTCCAGGTTATCTCCAGGAAAAATCCCCATTGTCTTCCATAGACTCCCCTAAGTCACTTTTCCATGCATATAAATATGATGGATTGTCTTCCAATAATGGCATTTGAGGAAATTACAAATAGATGAAAACAGATATTTAACCAGAGGGATAACTTCACAACATGGATTAATCCAAAGTGCTACGATTGGAAGTGCAGCAAGGAGAAAGAAGAGTGCATTTAACCTTTTCCTCAAAAACACAGTTGTTCCACTGAAAAATCCTCACCCTCATCTCTCAACTGTTGGGACTGTTGGGACTGGAGAAAGGGAGACTTGCCCAGGGAATGGGCTAGTCCATTTTTCAGCTTCCAGTTTAAAGCAGAACAAAATTATCGGGTGAAGCTAAATCACCCGTGTGTGAAAACACCCTCTGTCTCTCTCACTCTCTCTTGTGTGTCCCTTTATCTGTTCCAGAACATTTTTTCAGTTGTTCCTTTCATACACAGATCTCAGATCATCCTTAGCTGTAGTGAAAGAGAGGGAGGATAACACTTCGTGCAAATGGCTTCCCTGTTCCAAGTGAGTCTGGCCATTCTGGGCCACTTTCATGTAGTTTCACCGAACAAAAGATTTGGCTGGCATAGCTTTCCCGCTGCCCTTAAGCCATTCGCTCTGCCCCAATTCACCCTCTCTTGTCCAAACTTCAGAATACTCAACAGCTGATAGCAAAACTCTGCAACACCATGCAAGTGCCAAATGAGTCTCAAAGGGAATGTGCTTGTTTCAAAATTATTAAACTAATCATGTTTATTTTGGATAATTAGAATATATTTTAGCCCTCATTTTCTCTCTCTGCTTTTCTCGCCCCCCACCCTTCTTTTTGGTTATGAAACATCACTTCCCATTTGCCCCGACCTGTGTAAACTATTGATGTAGGGAAACCTGACTGAGTTGTTCTCCTTTGGCGATCACTCGTAGCCAAGTAAGATAGTCTTCTATAAACACGGTTTTACCAATGAGTCCGTAAGTGACTGTGGAGGCCAATTCTGGATCCACACATCCTTTCACAGTGGGGACATTGGTTTCCAGGGGGGAGTTGATCACAGTGTGGATTTGCCAAGCATGCCTTCCTCTTAGCAGTAGCACCAGTCACTCTCCCTATGAGTCAGATACTCTACACTTAAAGCTGGCAGCTGAGGCGGGGAAAAGATGACATTACAATCAAGTGTCAATTTTCCTTTGCAGGCAGACTACATTTTTCAAAAACCATTCGGCCCCTGGAACATTGCTTTCACTTCTGCTAAGCCATGATCCTTTTCGCCCACTCAGGTTTCTTTTTTTTTTTGTCGAGATTAAATGTAATCACTGTGTCAGTACTATAAATAACGACTCCCAACCCCACAGACACACACGCACACACACACACACACACACCTCTCAACTTGACTTAAAAATAAAAGAACTTAATAACTGAAGCCAAAATGGAACAGATTTTTGTTTCCATAACTACTTTATGTTATGGACTATGGGCGATTTAATAGTGCTACAGAACTAATAACAAGATGGCCTCCTACCCTGAAGGGTTCGAATTTACGTTGGCCAATGGGCTGAAGGTTTTGTGGGGGACAAAGATAGCGGTTGTATAACACAAGTATGTACCATTGCTGGGTCATTCACATTATTATTATTAATTACTATTATTATTATTAGCGAAGGCCTTCCTAAATGCAAATGTTTTTGCCTGGCACCTAAAACCAGACAAAGATGGCACCAGTTGTGCTTCCCGGGGGAGAACATTCCATAAGTGGGGAACCACCACTGAGAAGGCCATTTCTCATGTCCCTCAGGTGAGGCACACAGAGAAGGACCTCCAATGATCATTGCTGGTTCCAGGCTGGTTTATGTGGGGAGAGGCAGTTGTTGAGGTCCTGAGCCACCTAAGACTTTATGGGTCAGAAACCAACATTTTGAATTGGGCTTAAGAGACTAAAACGGTAGCTAGTGCAGTTGTGCCAGATTTGGTATGATATGAATTCTGCTGATTTCTGAATGAGCTGCCGTTTTCAAAAGCAGCCCCAAGTATGACACATTGCAATAATATTACTGTAATAGATAGTGATTTATTAATTATACAATCATCATCATCAAAATAGTAATAATAAATTAAACTGCTTCGAATGTATACCTATCCCATCTTGACTCTCCAGTAATCCCCAGGTCTCAGTGAAGGGTGAAAAATGACTTCTTTGAAGGCGGCATGTGGATGACATTATTAAGAATACTCTCTCGGCAGGTTTTAGTGATCACTTCAAAGGAAGTGATAAAGGGAAGGGATGAAAGGAAACTGCATACAGGGGTGGTGCCAATATTTATTTTACTTTTTAGCGTTTGGAGAAGCCCTTTCACTTAAGTGCAGGAAAACTGATTCTCACTTGCCATTCTCCGCAGCTGCCATGTGAAGACCAGATCATCCTTCTGAAAGGTTGTTGCATGGAGATTATGTCCCTCAGAGCAGCAGTTCGCTATGACCCCGAGAGCGAGACTTTGACCCTGAATGGGGAGATGGCGGTGACCAGGGGCCAGCTGAAAAATGGGGGTCTTGGAGTTGTATCAGATGCCATTTTTGACCTGGGCATGTCATTGTCATCATTCAACCTAGATGACACGGAAGTCGCTCTCCTACAGGCGGTTCTGCTGATGTCTTCAGGTGAGTATGAAAATAGTTTAGTAATTTACACTCTGGCCACTACACCACACTGGCTTCCTAGAGTACCGTACTTTTTGCTCTATAAGACTCACTTTTTCCCCTCCTAAAAAGTAAGAGAAAATGTGTGTCCGTCTTATGGAGCAAATGAAGGCTGCACAGCTATCCCAGAAGCCAGGAACAGCAAGAGGGATCACTGCTTTCGCTGCGCAGTGATCCCTCTTGCTGTTCTGGCTTCTGGGATTCAGAATATTTTTTTTCTTATTTTCCTCCTCCAAAAACTAGGTGCGTTTTATGGCCTGGTGCGTCTTATAGAGTGAAAAATACGGTACTTCTCTGGGGAAATAAATATGGGGAGAGCAAAATTAAGCCTAGTGTGCACATATACAGTGGTACCTCGGTTTTCGAACGTCTCAGAAGTCGAACATTTCGAGTTTCGGACGCCATAAACCCAGAAGTAAATACTTCCATTTTCTAACATGTCTTGGAAGTCAAACATGCCACGCAGCTTCTGCTGAGTGCAAGCTCTGGAGGCCTAGCCGTCGGCTGTTTTTGAACATTTCAGAATTCAAACAGTCTTCCAGAAAGGATTACGTTCGAAAACCAAAGTACCACTGTATTGTTTTACCAAAACATATAAGGTAAAATTCTCAATTGACAACTGCTCCCATGTTCTAGCCCTATGTTTTGCCCAAGAGACAACCCACTACCTTACTCTGGTTCTCTGAAGCCTCAGGGAAGCTGTGTCAGGCTCGACTGGCATTGGGAAATACTGTGGGAACCTGCCACTGAGCAATATCAATTCCTTAAAATTTGACTGAGCTCTGCAGAAGGTACTTGTTTAAGTAGTCCTGGGTGGATGTAAGGAAATAACTTGTGCCTTTCGTCTAAATTATGCAGATCGTCCGGGTCTTGTCAGCGTCGAGAGAATAGAAAAGTGCCAAGAGGGCTTCCTCCTGGCATTTGAACACTACATTAATTACAGAAAGCATCACATTGCACACTTTTGGCCAAAACTGCTGATGAAAGTGACGGACCTACGAATGATTGGCGCCTGTCATGCTAGCCGCTTCCTGCACATGAAGGTGGAATGCCCAACAGAACTCTTTCCCCCTTTGTTCCTGGAAGTTTTTGAGGATTAAAAAGACTGGAGAGGTTCTCGAAAATCCTATAGCACTACTGGGTGTCTGTCATTTCATTCCATTGCCTAGTATTTTCTCTCTCTCTTTTTTTTTGTCCATTTCCATTTTGTTCCACCTTGTTTTTTGTTTGGAGGATTATTTTTGATAGGCACGATTGATGATCTCCCTTCAATGCGGGTACTTGTGACAATTGCATTTGTGTGTGTGTGTGTGTGTGTGTGTGTCCTTTTGATGTGAATCCTTTGAAAGTTTGACATTGGAAATACAAATGAATCCGTTTCATTCACCAGCATTCAGGTGCTCATAAGCTCACGCTCATCACTGCTTGGAGAGAGGTGGGGAAATAAGCTGAACTAGTAGGGAAACAAATAGATACTCAGATCTTTATATTTTTTAATTCTGCCATATTTTGTACAGTATTATCTCACTTTCAGGACACGAGGTATTTGCTACAATCTAGAAAGTGTTAGGCTCACCTAAGTACCAGCTGAAATCGATAGGACTTAACCATGCCTAACTTTCACCTGATTGCAACCATGGTTTTTAGTAGTTCTTAAGAGAGTGCATCTTAATTTAGCCAAAGACTTCCATAATTGC